CAGATTAATGCTTAGGACTTTCTCGTCAAGCTGATACTGGAAAGAGAAGAGAAAGGCGCAGGAAGAAATAAGACAATGGAATACCACATAAAACAAACTGGAAGTGGGGAAGTTCTTGTCTTTTTAAACCCATTCGAACTATATGTAAACTTTAATTTATTCATGTGAGAATGAATCTTCCTTTTTTTCTTACGTAGAGTTCACGCGGGTTATTAGATAGGCAGTTTGTCAGTTAGCCTAAAGGGAACACTGGTTATGTATTTGTAATGCACAATCCGACCAGATGGACCGGCGATCAGACACCCTTTATGAGTCCATTGAGGTAAAAAGTACTCGAGATTTGTGGTAGTTTTACTCTATACGTTTAGAGGTACTAGTTTGCTTTCATTAGCCTAGAACGTATAGATAGTGCCTAGGCGAGTGACAGACTGATCATCTGTTAGGAGCATATAAAGTGCAGAACAAAAGGCAGATAACGTGCCTGCGATACGTGTTTCCTCAGGAAGTCTATTCCAGATGTGAGAGAACTTATTGGTGAAGAAGTTTCTTCGCAATTTGGTCTTACAACACTCATTTTCCGCCAATAGGTTGTGATCACGCAAACAGTGAGTAGATGTTATAACTGTTTCAATTTCCGGGCCACATGAGTGCACTTGCTTACGAAGTAATTTATAGTGAAATGTAAGACTCGTTTTAGGTCGCCTCTTCGAGAGAGGTTCCAGTCCCAGCATGTTGCATCTCGAGATGTGGTCTAGGCTGCGGTCAGCTCCTGGTGCTCTTAGCGTAAAGTGGCGTTGTAGTCCTTCAATTTTTCCTTTGTCGCTTATTAGGCCACTTGAGATGAACGGGCAGTACTCTTAAATGTGACGGATACTCGCTCTGTAGAGTAGGACCCTTGATTCAGTGATATAAAAGTTACGGACGGCGCATCCAAGGAGTCTACATGACTTAGATGTGATACAAGCCGTCTGCTCAGAGAATGTTAAGTCACTGGAATATCTAAGAACAAGATCTAGCACTGAAGAACGTCTAGGTAGCTTTGCCCACATACTCCGAGAGACATACCTGGGTTATCGCTGCCTATGCTAAGCCAACCACATTTATCAACGTTGAACTGGAGGTATGACTCGTCACACCATTTAGCAACTTCACCTAGTTATTGTAGAGCAGTAGATAGCGTGTTACCTAGTTCATGGGTGTGACATGGGTATACAACCTTAAGGTCTTCAGCGTATGGGAGTGTCTCCCCTACAGCGAAGCGCTTGCACACACCGTTGATACAGGTTATGAACAACAAAGATCCAAGGACACTACCCTGTACAACTCCAATAGGTATATGTCTAGGTTGAGACTGCATAGAATTTGCTTTGACGATTTGGTTACGATCACTAAGAAATGATTTTAGCCAATGAAGTAGAGAGTCATGAATGCCAACCGATTGTAGCTTATTAAGGAGAATACCATGTGATACCTTATCACATGTCTTTGATGCGTCAAAGTATAGAACAATGGCGGTTTTACGTGCCTTGCGGCTACTAGTGATCGTGATTCCTTGTTCAACCTTTTATTGTTCGACAAAGACTTAGGTATTTGGTAATTAATAGAATTAGGCATGCTACATGAACCAGGCATGCGAATACCATCCATACTCACTTTCTCTTCTTTATCATCACACAAATCAATAGAAAATTCCAGATTATTGTCCACAGGTAGAGTTTTTCTCCTGTGTCTAGATCCAGCATTATGAACCCGTTTAGCAGATCGATTTCCGCTATTCGCAGACATATTTGAAGGAGCAGAAAATTCCAAATAATGAAACTCGTTTTTAAACGGGAGCGAACCAAATATTCAGCCAAATGAGCAGAGCCAAACTGAAGAACATATGTTGCTTCAAATCCAATGAGTAGCACGTAACGAAGATACGAATCTTCGGAGTTCCCAAAACCGAAAGCGAGACCGACCAAATCCAAAACAATCGGTTGTCAAAAAGCGAGTGTGTATTCAAGCAGTAAGTGAAGCCTGCGAAAATTGTTCTTTGCAGCAAAATACACGTACGGCACCTAATTACGAACCCCCAATTTTAATGGCTACTGCAGTTTCTATCCAAAACGAGATACAGTGGTAACACCAGTCGGAACAAGTGGTTAAATACAAGCAAATTGAATGAAGTTAGACAAAATGAGCGGCCAATGTTTTGAATGCATTACAAGAAATGAAAACATATTCAGCGGTGCTCGTTGTTGATGTTGTTGCCGGCGGTGATGTGTTTGATAACGTCCTGCTGGATGGTGTTGCAATTGTGGAGTACTCATCCCGTTCGGATACATACGCAATGCTTGTCGACTGCCTCGGTAGTAGACATCGCTCATCGGTACACTATCACCACCACCAGGTGATGGGCCAGTCATCACTGAGGCAGTTAGTGGGCCACCACGTTGACGTAGCATTCCGTAACCATAACCGTCTTGTAAGGAACCAACACTGCTACAGCTGTCGCCGCCACCATCAGTTGGAGGTCCACGTTTTAAAGAGGTACCACAAGTTGTTACTGAAGATGGATAATAAACCTGTTATCGGTTTGCTATCATTTGTCGATTCATAGTCCCATTGTTACTTGGCGCTGGGTAGGGCGGTGGTAGATCAGATGATGATGATGACTGCGGATGCGGAATCGGCGGGAGCTGTGGCTGCTGATAAGCATATTCATTTTGTTGTTGGTGTTGGTGATGATGATAAAGTTCAGTCATTTCAATAGCATTCGACGGACTAATCACATTTCTATCCGGTGGTTGTCGGCTACCAAAATAGTACAAACCAAATGATTAATGCCGTCGTAAATAACTTTGTCCATCTGGTAAAATACCACTACAAAACTTTGTCAGTGGAAGTGTATTATGCCCAGATAACTTTTGATTTGAATCACCAACAGATGGTAGCAGTAGAGAATGATGTGGTGGATGGTTAGCTATATACGACTGATCATAGCGCCACAAACATTCTGGCTGCAGGTGATAAGTGGACAGCATTCTTGGTCCTCCAAATTCCTGTCCATGTTATTTTCCTGGGGTTAGCTAAGGTCTTCGACACAGTTCGCACAGCGTTTTTATTCACAGAATAGCAAGTTTGGGCATCAAGAAACAAGTGCTTTCATGGTTGAAGCACTATCCAGACGGTAGACAATTCTGCACAAAAGCCAACAGTTTGCTCGACTTGAAGGACATCATCATCTGGTGCATCACAAGGGGGCAATTCTGGGTCCACTGTCATTCCTTCTTTTTGTGAATTACCCACACTGAATCTCAGCTCTCCAATTCTACTCTACGCTGCTGATGTTAAGTTATGGAGAGCTGTGACGTCAGATACAGAATCAAGTCCACTGCAAAGTGACCTCAGTTACTTGTAGAGTGGGTGGATATCAGTGGACTAGCATTTAATCTGGATGAGTGCCGAGCCATGTTTCTTCGCACCACAGATTATCAGAAGGTACCCTATTCTGTCTGTGGAACACAACTCTCCCATACCACCACAGAGAAAGACGTAGGACTAATGCTGACTGACAAACTAGACACTAGCTCCAGTTATCCAAGAGATGCCTACAGAGCCTACGCAGTACTGAACCTCATGGGCAGAAAACTGGGTTCCCTGACCTCGGAACTCCTTTTGAAGCTGTACACGACCCTCATACGGTTTCACTTGGAGGTCCACAACGTCACTGCATCACCATATCTGAAAAGAGATGTGAACCTCCTAGAGAAAGTCCAAAGGCGAGCTACAGAGAGTGTCGTGAGAATGAAGCGAAAACCATATCAGGACAGGCCGAAAGATCTAGGACTCTACTCTCTAAGCTACCGTAAATTGCATGGTGACTTGATAACGGCTTACAAAATGCTAAGTAACCCAAGTCATCCGAACAGTGGAATCCTACAGAGCGGCCACCGTGGCGATCCTCAGAATAACCGAGGAGAATCACCCATAAAAGAGGGAAAACGCGTGTGCCACCACACCTCTTCTCCCTGCTAGTTTGCGGCCACTGGAACGCATTACCTGCCGAGATTGCTACTGCTCCGTCCGTTGATAGCTTCAAGAAGAGGTTGGACAGTTAGGTAGCGACTAAGGGTTTACGCTCATCCAACCGGAATGTGGGCTAGACTGACACGACTCACTGACTCGGTACGGCCAACCGTCACTGAACACTGTAACACCACTATCACTGGCAACTTGGCTCAGTCTTATGCCTGCCTACAGACGTCCTCTCCAGTTACTGGCTCCTACTAAAAGAATTACTATATTCCCATTCCTCCTATAATGTTATTTATTCTTCTTCCTTCTAACTTCACGTTCTCAAGCTTTAGCAAAAGCTCTCCCTATCACCCCTTCCCCATAAATCTACTAGCGTTTCTTCTTATGTGCCGTCAGCTTATTCCTAATCGTCTTTTTTCTTTTTTCTTTTCTTTCCTATTTGTATTTCTTTGAGCTTTCTCTCCATTGTTTCCTCTGCATATATCTGTCATCTCCACTTTACAAGCATTCCGACCAATTGTCTGCTGGCACAACGCTTGGGAAACCCATCTGAACCACTGTCCTTGGAGAAAAAAACAAAACAAACAAAACTCCCTACAAATTTAACCAACACCTAACCGCCCGTAGGGCTAACCAGAGCTACAGGAGTCGATCGAGTAGACCTACTTCATTGGAATCCACCAAAGACCTGGAACCATTTCGCAAGACCTAGAAGCGAGCACGAAGAAATCAGTTCGTCTACACTAGCTCGTAAAATGATATTGGATATGTAACAGACGCGAGAGATCAAAAGCTATCAGTTTTCTACGCTCGCACTATCAATATTGAATATTGGATATTATTCCAAATTTCGCGTTACGATAAGTTAATTTCGTGGTTAGTGTAACTACAACACATTGTAAAAGCTTTCTTATTTCATGGCCTAATATATATATTTACATATTAATGTCGCGTGTCCTCTTCTAGGAGTGTACATTCTGGCTGACACATTCATTTGCATAATGGTTGATTAAGCTGTTTTCATGCCTTGCCAAATTAGGCCATGCAATAAGAAAGGTATACCTTTAACTTCGAAGTCAAACACCAATGCTGAAGTAATTTGTGCGAATGCGGAAATAATGAAGGTTAATGCAGTGATTAGGACCGCTGAAATTGGTAGTTCTGCGGTTGCTGGCGGTATTTCTGGACGAGTTGCAGATGATGGTGGTGGTCGGTTGAAGAGTTTTCTGAAATGGTCAGCCCATTGTTTCCTTTATTTCTCCTCTTTGCTATCTACATTATCTTCACTATCTTTCAATGGCTTCGTCTGTGTTGATCTCTTCCATCCCAGATAGAAACCTGGTTATTTGATATAATGTCGTCATGTCTCTGTCTCTCTTGCCTGCAACTTTTTCTGCTCAATTGCAAGAATGTCGTAGAAGTGTCTTTTGTCTTTCCGCTCACTCTTCTCCACTTCTATGTCCAGTGTAGTGTTTTATAGACTGTGTGCAGTTCCTCTTTTCATTGTTCATCCATGCACTGCAGTGCACTGCACTGGTTCATCTTCTGCTTCACCATCACCATTTTCCTCCTCCTTTTCTATCAGCTTCCATGTAGAGATCTGTTCCTTGTCTTTCCGCTTCTTCTTCCTTCCTAACACGGTTATGCAGGTTTCTTTCCACATAACCTTCAAAGGGTTCCAGTGTTCTTCCACGCAGGCTTCTTCGGGGATGTTGCCTAATGTCTCCCATTTTGTCCTGATGAAGATATCCCTTGTAGTTTCGTACTTCAGTTTCTGGTCTAGGTGCTGAACTTCAACTGTGGTCGTCTATCACCAACTTTTGTGAAGGCTTTCAACTTGATTTGGAAGGTTCCTTGCACTAGATAGTGAGCCGCGTAAACCTACACCTACTCCCTTTCTTGATCTTGTGTATAGTAGTCTGCATCTCCCTTTTTCTTCACATTGAGACGAAGTCGATCTGATTTTTAGTGTAGTGTGGCCATCTGATGAAATCAAATCCATGTCACTCGCTTTGTAATATCTTTGTGTTTGTACACACTGCCTCGCCTCCAATCACCAAATAGTTGAATGCGCAGGAGTCTGCAAACACTCCTCCATTCTCATTCATCATTTCACCGAGTGCTTCTCGACCCATGATATATGACTTCGCTTCACAGTTTGGCATTCATGTCACCCCACCCATTAGAATTTTAATGTCGCCAACTGAGGCAGAGTCTTGTACGTTGCCGATTGCAGTTGTCTGAAGAATTCCTCCCTCTTCTCTTCATCTGCATTATTTTAAGGTACGCAGCGTAGTGTAATATTGTATGACTGTGACTTTCCTTCCTTTTGAGTTGAATCTTGCTATCATGACGCTGATGCTGAAGGAGGAGATCGCTTCCCATTGCATGAGAGTGAGTCTGCGATGCTCTTGAAGGGGACGTCATGATAGCCACTCCAAAACTCAGTGTGCTCATGGTTGTCGTCTGGGTGACAATATCGGAGTAGATTATTGACTCTTCAGTTGACAGTTTGGAGATTTCATTTCCATTCTATCTTTTTTCGCAGATTCTCAACAGTTCCGTACCATACCTTCTCATCTTTTTGCAATCTGGCAGCTTTGTTAGTCAGCTTCAAACATTTTTCGGACATTCCATGTCCCAATTATTACTTTCTCTTTCATCGAGAGAAGAGAAGAGCTATCGGCCAATTGGCTTCCCAAAGACTTTCGGCAACTGGTGTTATTTCGCCTCTCCAAATCCAGCGAAGAATAAGTTTGTTTTCATTTTTTATATTTTTTGTATGCTTTAAAGTTTCTTTAGACATTGGATTTGTTTTACGGGGTAGGGTTGCTAGCCCTGTGCCCAACCTTCCCTCTTTATCCGAGCTTAGGACCGGCTAGTAACTAGTTAACTAGGCGAGGTTACATCAGAAGGATACATTGTCTTATCTTTGATATGAATGTCATTGAAGTAGTCAATAACTTCAAACGTTTCATGCATTCCAGCAGCATTGATTGTCAGCATATTTAGCAGGAAAACTTGACCAATGCATTGCTGTACAACGCAGCATGCTGTCGAAGCTGCACTTGCTGTTTGTTCTATCCTAATAATTAGATACCCTCTTATGATCTATTTTCTTTCTTAATATTGTTTCGCCCCTGGTTTGAGTCCAGATTGTTATCTCAAAAAAGTCATTATATTGCATAATTTTCGACCATCAAATGAACTCAAGGTTATCATCTGATATTGGTTAATTTATATTGATAAACCTCAAAATAGATGTTAGGTTGCGCTTGTTACGCCGAGTTAACATCAAGTGAAGTGAAAAATAGGGTTTCATTAGATTAGATCCCACACCCATCAATATTTCCTGTCCCACTCCATACAGATAAATGCTGTACTTTGTTTGGTGTGCTACCCTAACTTTAAGCTCCCTTCTCATCAGTGGACACAATTATATCAATCAATATCACAATATGACCAGGCATTACTGCGTAACGGTCCGAGTTGCCACACCTCATATCAGCACATCAAGTAAAAAGGTAGTGAGGTGAAGGATGAAGATAAGTGAATGCAGTCAAAAGAAATATAAAGTACAAGAAGAAAGGAAAGAGGAGTGACAAAATAGTGAGATTCGGTATAGCGTTGTTAAGATGAGGATAATGTGTGTATACATCTGCGCCACTGACTTCGGTTCTGAGCCATATCACCTAGGGTCTCCAACCACTGGTTCCTCTTGTCCCGTGGACCCCAACCACCTAGTCTGCATCGTCCTACATGGCTTAAACCAACAGTCAGAGACTTCATACATTGGTGCCATGTTTTAGTCTGGCCACCTCGGGCCTTTTTCCAGCCTGAACCCACCTCAGCCAACATTGTGTGACGAGGCAATCGGTGACTAGGCATACGTAGTACGTGTCCCAACCATCTCAGTCGATGAAGGTTCACAACCTCGTCGACTGACTTACCTCTTCTCCCTAAAACTCTACACCTAACTTCTGCATTACTCACATGGTGACACCACGGAATACGTCCTATACTACGAAGGCAACGGTGGTCAAACACCTGAACCCTTTTTGTCTCTCCACTTTCAATGGCCATGTTTCACAGCCATACAGTAGAACAGAGCGGACTGCTGTGCAGTACACGCGACCCTTAATAGACAAACGAATATCACGGCGGCGCCATAGGTGGCGCAAATTGGCAAAAGCCAATCGAGCCTTTTGTATCCGTGCAGAAATCTCATCGGCAACTAACCCACCGGGTTGATCCTACTTCCCAGGTAAGTGAAGTGGTCAACACACTCAACCACTTCACTCTCTATTGTTAACCGCGGTACCGCTGAAGACCAGTCCTGGAGCAAAAATTTGCATTTGGGTGGTGAAAATCGCATCCCAAACATTCTCAAATTCCCACTCAAAGTGTTCAGAAGACTCTGCATCTTGTCAGCGTCTTCACCTAACAGGACTATGTCATCTGCATATTCTAGATCTAAGGAAAATTCACCTGTGATCGGGTCAACGTCTTTGTAATTAGGTGACGAGAGGGAAACCTCCATAAGAATATCTATGATAAAATTAAATAAGAATGGGGATAGTGGGCATCCTTGACGGACACCACTTGATGAGTATAGCTCCCTGGACAACTCACCATAGGCTCTAACATGCCCACAAGTGTTCGAGTAGAGAGCTTTCAATAAGGTGATGTACTTACTAGGCACGCCTTTCAGTGACAGACACTGCCATAAGACTTCTCGATCAACGGAGTCAAATGCCGCCTTCAGGTCGAGAAATACAGCTATTGTCGGGCGTCTGTAAGCATGCCTATGTTCCAGGACCTGGCGCAGTGTGAATATTTGGTCGATACATCCACGGCCAGGTCTAAAGCCTGCCTGGTTTTCTCGGGCTTGCTGTTCCCGAGCTCCACTCAGGCGTCGGAGAATTATAGAACTTAGGATCTTAGACACTATGTTTGTCAGGCTGATTCCTCTGTGGTTATCACAAGAGGACTTCTCGCCTTTCTTGAAGACTGGGATGATGAGTGACTTAGACCAGTCGGAGGGGATCGTATTTGATTCCCATATACTGGCTAACACTTCCGTTAGCCTGACTAAGAGAACTCTACCACCATTCTTGTATACCTCAGCAGGTAGTCCGTCTGGTCCTGCTGCCCTTCCCGTTTCAGGCTACCTACCGCTTTCTCAACTTCTTCTAGTGTTGGGGGACCTGTCTCTATGTCCCATTCAGGGTCCGACTGGATAGCGGGCAGCGCAATGGTGGCTGGAGGCCAGTTAAACTGTTCCTCAAAGTGTTCTGCCCATCGTCCCAGTCGCCTTCCCTGCGAGTGAATCGCAGATCCGTCCTTCTCCGCTATAACCTCACTAACTGTTGTTGACCATTTCCCCCCAGTCTCCTTAATAAGTCTAAATAACTGTCTACTGTTACCGATCGCCGCTGCCTTTTCCATCTCTTTAGCCTTTGCTGCCCACCACTGTTCACGATCGTTGCGCAGACTTTTCGTCAGTTTATTTTTAAGTTGCGCTCGCTCTTCATTGTACTCAGAGCCTGCAGGGATGCATTCACGTGCATCCATTAGTTTGGAAGAAGCTGCTGATATCCACTGGCTCTTTTTAGCCATTATCTTGGAGTCGGCTACAGTCTCCAGTGCTGCTTTTACAGTAGACTGAAGATGGCACCAAGCTTCTTCTGGATGAGTGACAGTCTTTTGTTCCGATAACTGCCTAGCCAACTTCTCACTGAACACGGCTTTGGTGTTTTCGTTGTCCAGCAGAACTCGTAGTGGTTTTGTTGCCAAATTTTTTCTACGTCCATTGAGACGCAGGCATATACGTGCTCGGACCAACGCATGATCGCTGTCCAAACACGTACTCCAGAAGGAGCGGCAGTCTTCCACCGATCCTCTCCAGCGATGACTAATAGCAATGTGGTCTATCTGTGTCCATCGCTGAGTCGAGCTCGGTGGACGCCAGGTCAGACAGTGCCTTTCTTTATGTCTGAAATTTGTGCTGGCTAAAAATAGGCGGTTATCTGAGCATAGTTGTAATAGGCGATCACCGTTATCTGTACGTTCAGCTGGGATTCCGAAAGTGCCACCTAAGTGCCTTTCTGCCTCACTCAGTCTACCCACCTGTGCGTTGAGGTCACCTGCAACAACCACTACGTCCGAACGTTTGGCTTTCGAGAGGAGGTTAGACAGTTTATGGTAGAACTCGTCCTTCACTTCATCCGAACTACAGTCAGTGGGTGCGTAAGCAGAGATTACAAAGAGACAACGGCGAGTCTCACTATTCCTTTTAGTTCTCACTGTGCCGTTCAGCCTCATAGCGCAGAGGCGACTATCAACTGGGATCCAGTCTAGTAGTGAGTTTTCTGCCCTGGTGCTTAATGCTATACCTACACCTGCAAGACCACGAGAGCTAGCTATCGAATCTCCAGAAACTCGAAGGGTGAATTTTGCAGATTCACCAGATTGGTCAGGAGAGGTCAGGTGAATAACCACACTTGGGTCCTGTATGCGTGTCTCACAAACACAGCACACATCCATGCCCGAGTTGCTAGAGTCTTTGCCAACGAAGCCTGTTGGCCAATTTGACGGAGGGTGCGGACATTGAAGGCTCCAATATGTAATTTGGAGCGTGGTTTAAGGAGACCAGGGATGCTGTTCTGTGGACTCAGATCGTTGTCGAAGGCTGCAGAGGTAGGAGAAATTGAAGATGATGCAGCATCATTAATTAAGAGACGTGAAGGAAGATTAGAAGGTAATGATGGAGGAGGAGGATAGCAGTCAGAAGAAACTTGGGTGCTGACAGAGTTGTGAGGGCGGTTGACACTTCCCGGCTGCCCACACCGTGGAAGGCTATTTCTTCTTAAGGTACCTGAAAGAGATTTGTGTGACCGCAGAGCCCATCGGACATCTGCTTGAGGCCTGTCACACCCAGCCTTTTGAGTATGATTATTTTGAATTTTTGTATTTTTGGGGCCGGATGGTCGAAAGGAAACGACAAGTGAACCAACACCGCCGGCCCGGCAGACCGTGGGGCGTGGTGGAGTGTGTTATTTTTGGGGCCGACCTTTTCTAACCCCCCCTTCCACTGAGAAGGCAGCATCAGCTTGGCACTGCTGGTCATCCAAGGGAAACACCTTACTGCTGTCACACCCCATCCAGCTAGCAGCAGTACGACTTCGCCCTCAGACCCCCATCATAGTGTAGCAATTTACACTATAACGGTAACTGCTTTTCGTCTAACCACTACCCAACAGACCTTTCTGGTATGGTAGGACCTCGAGGGAACAAGCGTTCCACCAGCATAGCTCGTTGGGTCATTGTGATATGCAAGCCCGACCACCACGTCAAGATAGCAGCTATCGGCCGGGGACATAATTATATGCAATATATTGTATTCCCATCTGGATTAACTCACCGTTGGTAAGTCTCCATCACTTTCTTAGTCAAGGTAGGCGCTAAATTATGATTTTAGTTCACTCCATTTATAGAATGATGCTAAATAGGAAAACATAATGGGCACACAGAAATACACTTACTGGTTGCCTTCATTGGGAAAGGTGTTTCACTTAGATAACTGGAAAAGAAAATGAGGATGTAAAGACTGCTTAATTGATTCAAGTACTTGATCCTAAATATCGAGAGACTCTCATCCGACCAATTATGCATAGTCTTCTGGGAAAATATTTTAACTTGTAAAGCCTTGCCGCTGGCACCGAAAATCGAGTAATTCAGAGTACTACCTTTTAAAACCGACTTTCTAAATCCTCTTGACCATGGGTAAGCGACCTCTGATAATGCTAGACATTTGCAGAGAACATGTCACTTATGTTACAACTAGTTGCAGGACTCACCATCAGATCTTACATACCATGGTATTAGCTGACTTTCTTCTTGCTTTCACCATTTTACTTTGCCGATACAGCAAAACCTCACAAAAAAGCGTTCCAACCAGTGTATCTGTACTTATTAGTGTCTGTAAGTATGGTATGTGCTTTGCACCAATAAAGTGCAAAGTACTCTTGCAAGATTGGCAGGATCCTGTGCGTACGCTCACACTCAATAGTGAGCCGTTGAAAATCGTCGAAAAGTTCGTGTATCTGGGTAGTTGTGTGAGTGCTGGTGGTGTAAGATTTTCAACCGCATATCGAAAACCAGAGTGACTCATGTCAATCTAGGCCACCTTTGACGCCGTCGCAACGTTAGTCTGACTATAAAAGGTCGGGTTTACAACTCTTCAGTACAAGCAGTTCTGCTCTACACCTGCGAAATCTAGCTTCTTCGACCTAAGGATATGCTTGTTAGATCGTCGTTGTCTCCTTAGGATTACTCGTATCCGGTGGTAACGCCATTTAAGTAGTCCTGAAGTACGACAGCGTGTGTTTGGGTATGATGGAGGTCATCATTCAATAAGTGAAGTCATCTGAAAACAATGGCTTCTCTGGCTTGTACATGTGCTACGCATGTTATCCCAATAGCTTCCACACCGTTCATTGTTTTCTAAACCTTGAACTGGATGGAAGAAGCGGAGGGGTAGTCAGTGTATGACATAGGTCGTTGGATGAAGGATAGTTGTATTAGGTTAGCATCTGTTGGCACATCACGACACCCGGGGTGGGGTCGGAGAGATCATGCAACTCAATGGCTTGAGACGTTATCAGATATGACTCAGAATCGAAACGGGTGGTAGTCATCCTGTAGCTTCGTTTTATCTTCTACTGCTGCTGAAGAGTAACGAATGTTTTGTTTTTAAATGTATCTTACTGGACTACCCTTTTAATCATCCTATTCTTATTGTGTTTCTCTTAACTTATCCACTTCCCTTCGCTTTATGTCTTCATAATGTTGTGATATTATTTAGTGTGGCACCTTTTTTGGTGACCCTGTTGTACCACGTTTGTGTTTTAATAATAATAATAATATTTCGTATGATGTGTCAAGTCAAGATACTAGGTAATTTTGTTTTGCTCTACTCGATCCCTTCACCTTGCGGTCTCAAAAATTGAGACAATTTTGATCGATACGCGATTATATGTATTTCTACATTGTTTTTCTTTCTTTGTGTGTGTGTGTGTGTGTGTGTGTGTGTGTGTGTGTGGTGTGTGTGTGTGTGGCATAAACAAAAATTACTGGCGATTGATAATTGTCAACATTATGCAAACTACAGTCCTACGGTGTTTGACAACCAAGACATCATTAAGCCATTCAACTAAGATACACTGACATTACAGGTATTATCTTCTTGAGCTAAAACAAAATCCTTGCACTAATTCAAGACATAAAATTATATACAAGATGAACTTTGAATAGGAACTGAAAAAGGTGACTACTGTTACAAATTTGTTGTACTATGTTAATTTTATATGTTTGTGAATGATATGCCTTTCTCTTTGTTACAAGAATAACATAGAAATTCTATTTTTAGGGATGCAAATGTTGAAGGCTGGATTGAATCGTTGGAACAACACTTTACTTTATAATGTAATTAAAAGTCGAAAAATAAGTGGATACACTAGACTGGCTCCAAAATGGTCTAATTCAGAAATTGTATGTATGTCAGAAGTGTACTGCTTTTAATCAATTATGTATTCAGATCGAGAAGATCAAGTCCCAAGGAATACAGAAGTGTTGGTTATCGGTGGAGGTATTATTGGTTGGGCCACAGCGTTTTGGATTCGTCGAGATTCAAAGTATTCTGTGACTGTTGTTGAAAAAGATCCAACATATGCTAACTCGGCAACAGTTCTTGGCTTAGGATCTATACGACAACAGTTTTCAGAACCGGAGAATATACAAATGTCATTATTTTCAAGCAATTTCTTAAGGAATATTAAAGATTATTTATTAGTCAATGGTTTGGCATAAGTGATTTGTTAAATCCTTTAATTTAGATGAGATAAATGATATAGACATTGGTTTCAATCCACAAGGTTGCCTAATGTTATCAGATGTCAAAAATGCTGCTTCGTTTGAGGAGAATTATATACTGCAAATGTATGCTTCTTTTCATTATCACCTAAATTATTGGTGGTTTGTTATTATAGAGATTTAGAAGCAAAAGTTGAATTGCTAAGTAAAAAAGAAATCTCTACGCGTTGGCCGTGGATAAACACTGAAGATGTCGAGTTAGGCTGCTATGGTTAGTCTATCTTGGATTATTTTATTTATTCAATGTTGTCATCAGAATACATGTTTTAGAAATGTATAGTAACCGTCAAGGTGGAGATACATCTGCACTATTGTCATTGATTTTCAGCCACGTCGTTGAGAGCCTTCAACCACTGCTTCCTATCGTCTCGGGAACCCCAGTCAGGTAGTCTACACCTCCATACACGGCTCAAGCTAACAGCAAGAGATTTCATCGAGTGGTGCCACATCTTTATCTGGATATCCTGAATCCTCTTTTAACCGGAATCAACTTCTAACATTCCATGTCGAGGTAGGCAGTGACTTAGCATACGCGGTACATGGCCAAGCCACCTTGGTTGGTGAAAGTTCACAATCTCATTGACTGATTTACCTTCCTGGACAAGTACCCTCCTAACCTCGACATTACTACCATACCACCATACGCAAGCAATGCTACGAAGTCACTTATAGTCAAAGACCTGTAAACGCTTCATATCTTCTACTCTTAAGGGCCACAACAAGACAGAACGGACTGCAACGAAGTATACTTATCCTTTGATAGATAGTCGGATATCTCGCCAGTCGGTACTCGAAATGATGCAAGTTGACAAATACCAAACCATCAAAACCAAGACTGAACGCGTCATTCCTAAATTCTTGTTGCATCTTAGTTCTTTTTATCTTCTTTGATTAGAAGGTGTCGTACCTTTGTTTTGGTGACAGTAATCAAAAATAACTGATTTAAAGTGTTACAATTCTGTCTCAGACTGGAATAATATCACTTATTTGACTGATTCAATTTTCAAATAGCATTTTGCGTCTAGAATTTAAATTTATGTCGTCAGATGTGAGCTTTAGAGTCAAAGCTTTGAGTTATAGCGGAAACAAGGTTACTGATGAGTGAGTGAACACAGATCTAATAGGATCAATAAGTAATCTATATTGGAGTTTGATGGGCATTTTTTGATTAAACAGATCAAATTTGTTGATATAAGGTAGAAGACCTCTACGATATGCTTTGCTCTAAATTAAATACTTGTGAACAGTTGAATTCAATAATATTTCTAGTACAATGCTCAGGCGATTTCAAGTTGGCATATATACACAGAACGTCTACAGAGAGCTTTCCAAAAACAACCTTAGACACTCATGATTCGTAATAGAATCTTTGAGGAAAACAGACTTTCGCATTTATTTCAGCAAGTTTCACAGAGTAATATGGGAACTTATCGAACTACTTCACTGTTGAAGAGTCTTTGGTATTCTTCTTCTTCTTACTCAAGACCGTTAGGTTTCGTGGCCAGCACGTTACAATTGAGCCACTGGATCGGAATACAATGGTCCGTATTTACTACTTTTCATAAATGGTACATTTTTACCATCTTTGTACTACAGATTTTTTCATATGCATAAGTTGGCTTTTGCCAACTTACGCCACCAGTGCCGACGCCGTTATATCCGATTGTCTATTAAGGGTCGCGTGTACTGCATCTGCACAGCAGTTCACTCTGTTCTACTCTATGGCTGTGAAACATGCCCATTGAAGGCGAAAGACCTGAGAATGCTTCAGGTGTTTAACTACCGTTGCCTTCGAAGTATAGGCCGTATTCCGTGGTGTCATCACGTGAGTAAGGCAGAAGTCAGGCGTAGAGTTTTAGGGAGAAGAGTTAAGTCAGTTGACACGGTTGTGAACCTTCATAGACTGAGATAGTTGGCTGGGACATGTGTTACTTATGCCTAGTCGCCGATTGCCTCATCACACAATGTTGGTCAAAGTACAGGCAGGAAAAAGGCTCGAGGTGGCCAGACTAAAACATGGCATGAATGTATGGAGTCTTTGGCTGTTTGTTTGAGTCATGTGAGGTGATGCAGACAAGGTGGTTGGGGTCCGCGGGACAAGAGGAACCAGTGGTTGGAGACTGTAGGTGATGTGGGTGAGAACCGATGTCAGTGATGCAGATGTATACGCACATTATTCTCATCTTAACGACGCTATACCGAATCTCACCATTTTCTCATTCCTTCTTTCGTTCTTTCAGTACTGACTGAACCTTCTTTTCTTTATCTTCCATTGCCTTCATTGCCTTTTTACTTGATGTAGTGATATGAGGTGTGGCAAATCGGCCCGTTACGCAGTAATGCCTGATCCTATGTTGATTTGGATGGATGGATACATCATATGCATAGAGAGACGGTGATTACGTTTACAGAATAAATAAGTTTAAGCTTTGTTATTACCTCAGGTTTAATCAACAGCTAAAAATATTAACCCTTTCTTTCTTTCTTTCTTTCAATTTCTTCTAATATTCCAAATTTCGTTATACCTTGTTTTAATAACCTAAGTGCCTTCATTTTGTTCCCATGATCCTTATTCAACTTGATCTCTATGTTACTAGGTTGCTGGTAAGAATCTTATCGTGGTACAGATTTACATTTCACCTCCAATCATCACCCACTAAAGAATAGGTAATGGAAAAGATAAGATGTGGTTGCAGCAAAGAAACTTTTTCTTTTCGACGAAGTTATTTACTACTAAGCTGGACATTCGTGAATATATGTTACAATGGGCTGAATAGTCCAGAATTATTTCCGGTTAGGGGGTAAAATATAATGAATAACTAAAGGAAGTTAATTAATATACATTTCGGTTAAGGGTGGGATAATATATGTGGAAATACATGTATATTTACCTAATACAAGATGAATCTGTGAGAGTCAAGGTTTTATGATGGCCATGGCAAAGATAAAGGTTGGATGTACCTTTTTTTGGACGCATAACGCTAATATGAAACTCTGGATGGCTAGTGCTGCAGCTATAGGCAAATACCTTGATCTTACTCCCTTCGAGTGGTTTGATTGAACCCTGTAGAGGAACTAAGTGGCCTGAGTTCACAAGGTTTCCTGTTACTGAAGTGAAAACACATTTGCGTTCTCCCTTTGCCATGCACGCTGGGTAGTATTCGCAGGCACGTTTTACAATCGGAAACATGGTACGGGCGATGCAATCAGCTCTACAAGAGCAAGCAAACACACACTGGTGTGTTCCTACTCTGACATTCATTCATCCTGTATTGTATAATTACATTTAGTTTCATAATCTCTTGTCTATTTTCGTACTCGAAACCTAAATGTGTATTAACTTCTTTTAGTTATTCAATATATTTTGCCCTCCAGGCGGAAATAATTCTGGAACGTTCTGCTCATTGTAACATATATTCACGAATGTACAGCTTAGTAGTAAATGACTTCGTCAAAAAGAGAAAAAGATTCTTCGCTGCAACCACGTCTTGTCAGTTCCTATGATCAAATCGGTGTATTCCGGTGAATAAGTAATGCTTGTAACTATCCAATGTAGCGTAACAGCAATACACAAAATTGTGATTGTACAGCTGTAGAGAAAAATATCCTTCGAAATAAAAACTTCATAGTTATCAAAGTGACCAGGAAAGTGGTATACTTCTAACCCTAAAATTGCAACGAACTGTGAAAATAACAAACAAAGCGTTCTGGGTGTTCACTTGATACAGTAAAATAAAACCAACAAAATTTAGGCACTGACGCCGAAGAATGCAAATATGTGCCCCACAGTTGTAATATTCAATAAACATTATCAATCTTTGATGTGAACTGGTGTCAGAATGCGTGGGATTTATAGATCTACACTCACTATAGAACAATAAATAACGAACGATACTTGCAAGTTCATTCAGCATTTTTAACAACTAATTTAAAGCAAAACATAAGACGCATAACCATGAGAACATCAGCTTCAAGATTTATTTTTCTCACGGCAAAAATGTAATACATAACCGCAAAACGTTAGTTTCTCTTAAAGGCAAACAAATACACAATTTGAAGTATCCTTGACTTCAAAGGGATGCACCTACCCTTGGAGGTCACTTCCTTGACAAGTATGTCCAGCCAGGTTAAGATGACAAAAAGCAGCCTTTTCCGAACGTGTTGAACATATCTTACGCAATCATCAAAAATAAGGTGATGAGACAAGTTTACTTTGCTTCAAGTGACGAAATATGTCCACTGCTCCACTTAATTCAGGAGTTGCATCAGCTCGAACTGGCTGGTTCCTGACGAAATCTCAGCATGAACACAAAGTGCGTTTGGCATTTACCAACTGGCGTCATCTGTGGCACTGACTAGAGAGATATCCAACTACCTGTTAAACGATGAGTATACTGCACCGTAGTTCATTCTGTCCTATTATCCGCCTGTGAGACATATCCACTAAAGGTAGAAGATATGAAACAGTTACAGGTTTTCGATCATAGATATCTTGTTAGTATTGCTTACGTATGGTGGATTCACAACATCATATGAGGAATGTTGACGTCAGGCGAAGGGTATTAGGCAAGATAGGCTAGTCGATTGATGAGGATGTGAAACTTCATCGACTGACATGGCTTAGTCGTATGTTGCATATGCTGATTCATCGCCTCCCTCGACGTGCCTTGCTGAGAGAAGTTGGAAGAGGGTTCAGAGTGACTAGACCAAGACCTGGCACCAATGCATACATACAGTCTGTGACTGTTGTTCTCAACTGTGTAAAGAGATTTAGACTACATGGTTGGCGTCCTCGAGGTGGCAGGAATCAGTGGTTGGTGACGTGGCTGAAAATTGGTCACAATGGTACGGATATATTCATGTTTTCACTTCTGGAGCTTGAATGTTTTGACTCACCTTAATTTTTAAATTCCCTCTTCTCCTATTCACTTTTGCATACATTGATATCACTCCTTTTTCTATCCACTCGCTCTTCGTCTACTACTGTGAAGTATGGCCACTTGAACGGTTCAAGGTTCTACGTTTATTTTGTTTGCTTATCTGCTTTGGCTAATGAAGCGATGGGTACTAGGTCCAAGTTACAATGGGAATTTCATCACTCACTGGCGTGCAGGGAGATCTATTCGACGATTCCCGAATAGGAAGAAACGTACATCCTGTATTCCACTTCTAGCCAACGAGTTGACTAGAATACAATTGACTTTAGCCTTT